AACCCGCCCACATCTCTCTACCTCGCCTCCAGTCGGCCGGACCCCACCCCTGGCACCTGACTATGCCTACCCGCTGATGAGTGCCAGCTTCTCAGGTGAGGCGGAGTCTAGGGAGGGAAGGAAGGAAGGTAAAGGATTTAGAGACACGGAGAAAATGTCTTGCTAGATGCTAGTTATTATCGATAAACTGGATGAAGTCATTATCATTATTATTATTATTCACATTGCTGACATATCCCGCCTTCCGCTCCAGTGTCCGGCACCCCCAAGTAACCCTAACACCTTTCTTTGCAGGAGTTTGCAGTAGCGGGCGCCAGAGTCCCCTAGGGTCCAGCCTCATGTCCCGTTCGTTGTCTTCCGCTTATCCGCACACCCACTCCCCGTACACAGACTCGGCGTACTCCTCACCTGCGGGAGGCTCTGGCTCAGGTGTCCTTGGCTCTGCGTATCCGCCCACCGTCCGGGGTATGTGCCCGTCACGCTCGAGTGTTGTTTTGGGGCGTCTCGGAATTTTTGTGACCTTTTTTTTGTAATGATAATGATCATAATGTCAATTCTTGTATCATCAGGTAACATGTGTTGTATAGTATGATGCATTAGTGCCTCTATTTATGTTGTTTAATTTTTTTGTGCGGTATCGGCTTGTGAGGCAGCTTGATATTTTGTTATACCGCTTTTTGTGTTGCTCATGTTTCCTAAAGGCTTTCGAACTAGTAGCCTCAGCTAATGTTCGATGCCCGTGTTGCAGGGGAGGTATCCGCGGCCATCGCAGCGAGCACATCCGAGGAAGCTGTCCCGCTGCCGAGAAGTGAGCCGATTCCCGCGGAGCACGAGTCCACTGCAGCCAGCTGGGTACAGGTGTTCGGCAAGGAGCTTGTGGCTTGCCTTTTCTCCCGTGACTGGGCCGTCAGAGAAACTGGTCTGAGGAGACTTGCTCACGAGGTAAACATGCTTTCATGCTTTTTAGGTGCAGTGGGTTTGGGGAAATGTCTGTTGTTATTGTCAGGTTGAAGGGAATTTTGTAGGTATGTCGGTTAGACGATTTACGGATCGATCACTCTATTTTTGTTTTGCTTCCCAACAGGTCGTGAAAGTCTTGCACTGGGACCGCCTAGTAACGGGGGAGGAGAAGAGACGACAAGTCATCCACTGCTGCGCCAACATCCTGGCACAGGTGGCAAACGACCCCGTCTACAAAGTGTACCTGGCATGTCTGCGGTGCGTCCGCGTGTTGCTCTCGCACCTAAGTCCATCGGCGGGGAGCGAGGTGACTTCACTGCAGGAGTTGTTCCGTCCACTCGTCCACACGCTTCTCCTGAAGTGCGCGGACGGGAACAGACGCACGTCACAGATCAGCGTCGACTCAATACTAGAGTTGTGTAGAGGCCAAGAAGGAGAGCTGGCGCTAGGCACCCAGGTGCAGGGGACCACTCCCGGGCTGGGGGGAATATCCTATGTTCTCTCCTGCATCCTAGACGACTCCCCGCCGTCGGAGGCTCCCTGGCAGTGGCTCCTGGGCCGCCTGTGTGTGCTGGATCGCCTGGTCGACGAGTTTCCTTCCGAGTTTCAGTTGCAGTATCTTCCTCTGCAGTCGTCAGAGTCGGGCTATAAGCTACAGCATTATGACCGCCTGATGACCGTGGTGGAATTCGCGTTCAAGGCGCTCGGCAGCAGCCATGCGACTGTCAGTAAGCTTGCTCGCCGGGTGTACATCTGCGGGGCCCGTTTCGCCGCCGCAGAGCCTGCAGTGTTCCACCAAGTGTGCGACATGCTTGCCAAGCTGGACGTCTCGCTGCAGATGCGCCTGAAGAGGCGCTTACGCTCAATGCAGGGGCAGCACAGTGACCGCAAGGCATCCCTGGCGCGGCTGGAGGGCAAGCTCAGTATAGGATCCTGGGACCTGGGAGACACGGCGGGGCCTCGCTTGGTCCGCTCTGTGTCACACTCGCCGTCTAGAATGCTGTCAGCCCTAAGGTCGTCCTCGCAGTCCCCCGCTCGGCAGTCCTTCATGTCTTCCAGCAAGGACACGGACAGAGCAAGCAAAGGTCCCGCAGGGCCGACGTCTTCCCCGCCGAGACCGACTCACCTGCCATTAGACTGTTTCGAATCAAAGTTCAAAGAAAAACAAGCAAAATTACGATTGTATCATAAAACAAGGCCAAAGCACGACATCCCCTTTGTCGTGCAAAATGTATTAGTTTCTCCAGTACAACAGCAGCGTCTCCAGCGATGGAGTCCCGTAAAGATGGGCGGAAGCCTTCACAAAAGCGGCTTGTCGCAGAGCCACGGCGACGCGCTCGACGTGTCGCCTCAGACGCCCGTGAGCTCTGTGGCGCCGCCTCAGTTTTCCTTTAGAGATGTTGTGAGTACTCCAGCCACGCCGACAGCACCGCACTGCACGCCGGTCAGGGAAACCGCCCCTTCGGTCGACCCAAGCGAGATGAACGGTCAGCATGGTGGGGATCCGTGGGCAGCCCAGGAAGCACCTTTACCTGTGATCCCAGGCCTGGACCTGCTGCCAGCCCACCTCGACGATGCCTTACACCCTTATGAGCAGGTATGGTTCTCGTGTCCAGCTGACTGCGTTTTGTATTAATCATTCATAAAAGTATTGGTGTTTAAAAGTATTTCTGTGCAAAGGGCGAGGATATAACTACATGTATCCAGAGTTTGTGTAACTCATTTCAAAGCAATTCTCAAAAAAACGCGTTGTTTTTCAGAATGTGGAGGGTGGACAATACGAGGAGGGCCGAGACTGGGTGAGAGGCCCTTTATTAGGTACTGGTGCCTTCTCCTCGTGTTACCAAGCACGGGACGTCCGAACAGGCACGCTGATGGCAGTGAAGCAAGTCTCCTTCTGTCGTAACAGCGAAGAGGAGCAGGAGCGAGTGGAGGCTTCGGTCGAGGAAGAGATCCTAATCATGTCACGGCTCCGCCACACCAACATCGTCCGGCTGCTCGGAGCTTCCAGACACTCCACGTCTTTCTCCGTGTTCACCGAGTGGATGGCGGGGGGCTCCGTGGCCACCATGCTCGACAAGTACGGCACGTTCTCCGAGCAGGTCATCCTCAAGTACACAAAGCAAGTCCTAGCCGGTTTAGCCTATCTACACGACAATAAGATTTTGCACCGCGACCTTAAAGGTTAGTTCAGGTGGACGGTTGTGTAAGTGCGTGTAATACGTAATGTAATGTAGAAGACAAAGAAAATTATTTTATGTAATATAAATACCTGTTGTAAACTAGTAATTTTATATGGAGGACATTGGAAGCATTTCTATGTAATAGTCCTTTCTTTGGAATGAAAGGTTGGCTGTCTTGCAGACTGACTTTGAAATTCATCAAAGCCACGCAATATAACGCAACTTATGAAAGCAAAATTTGAACCTCCAAAGATTATTTCAATTGTGAACACTTATGCACATATTATTGATTTATTCGTCCCTTGTAACAGACCCCCAAATATGACAAATAATGCCCTATTCATATTCAATTAACCGAGTCCACTTCTTGCTTCAGGTGCAAACCTCTTAGTGGACAGCACCGGCCAGTGGCTAAGAATCGGAGACTTCGGAACGGCCGCTCGGATGGCAAGCAAATCTACAGTGACCGGGGAATTCCAAGGGCAGCTGCTAGGTACGATTGCCTTCATGGCGCCCGAGGTCCTACGAGGCGAGGACTACGGCCGGTCGTGTGACGTGTGGAGTGTGGGATGCTGCGTCATCGAAATGGCGACCACCAAACCTCCGTGGGGGGCCGATTACGTCTCCAACCAGCTCAAGCTCATGTATAAGGTAATATTTTATACGCTGTCTCTGTCCGTGGGGCTTTTACTAAGAATACAGACAGAGGGGGGGGGGGGGACGAGGTAAGGTAACGTTCTATACGCTGTCGTAATAAGGTAACTATAATAAGGTAACGTTCTATACTGTGTCGTTTGTCCGTGGGGCTTTTACTGGTTTTGCAAAGTATTTATAGGAGTTTAGGAATGCAGATAGACCGGGAAAAGCGAAAAGTAGGACTTGTATCAAAGACAGGATTCATTGAATAGTCTCCATTGCGATAGATGTAGAAATGTAGATCTCTTGGACTGTTAAGATATCCATTCTCTTTCGTACCTTTTTATACAGGATTCGTTTCAAATCTTACAACCCTGTGAAGATACTCATTCTCATTCGAACCTTTTTCTTCGTACCATGTTTCAAATCTTCCAATTCTTTTTCAGATTGCTACAAGTAACGGACCACCTACCGTACCTGAGACCCTGTCAGCCCCAACGCGAGATTTGGCTCTCCGCTGCCTGGAAATCAAGAGTGAGAACCGACCGCCAGCCAAGGAGTTACTCCAACACCCGTGCTTCAAAACCCAGCCGCCATGACACGCACTCGCACCAGAGGATCACAATCTGCAAGAGGAAAAATTAAATTTCAGTTTCGGCAACTCGAGAATTATAGAACAGTGATTCTAACACGAACAAACTAGCGGTTAAATTATTTGATAGATATATTGTATTTGCAGAGTACGTTTATAAAAAGAAAAGAAAAGAAAAAGATTGCCATACATATTTGATATAAGAAAATCATTCACGGCTTTGGCAAGTGATACAAAGAACAAATCTAAAAGAAAAAAAAATCATTCACATTCTGAAATTAGAAATGCCAAATCCATTTTTACTCCATTTCAATATTTACCTCTGTGTGTCTTGAAATTCTGATAGTACAAATTTTCACTATATAGGTTACTTTAGTTTCTTTTTTTTTAATTCAATAATGATTGGTTAAGCTCTTCTCTTTGACAAAATCAGATAGATGTGAGCGGGCAGAGCATATAGAGCGTGGCATGGGGTTGTCTAGCTCTATAGTGTATATATCAACAGTATACACATAGCTTAGTGTATGTAGGTCGTAGACGGCTTCCTTCAGCGGTGCCTGTGACGCTGAGGACCGCACGAGCTCCGAAGAGGCACTGGCTAGAGTGTCGGGCTTTGGAGGGGCTCTGCGGTGCCAGGGGACGGGCACCTGGAGGGGTAGTGTCCTCTGGAAGGCGGAGTCGGGACCATGCGTCCCTCAAGACTGGTCGACGAGGTGGCAGTAGTGCACTAAATTTGTGTTTTATTGGAAAAAAAAATCATCCCTTTCGACTGAGATTCTTTTTTTCAGCGTCAAAATTTTGAAAAGGAAATACTAAATGTGTTGTTGTTTTTGATGTTATACGTCAGATCAGCCTTGCTGGACTGGAAAAGCAAATACAAATAATAATCACAATAAATGGCTCCATGAATTTATGATCTCTCTTCGTTGGGGTAATCCTAACAGCCACTTGTGCCGGTGCTGTCATCAAACCTCACAACCAAAACAACACTTGGAATTCACCATCGATACTTCCAAGATTACCTATTGTTACGTTTGTCTTTAAAAAAAAAAATACTGACCTAAGTGGGCGTGGCAGGTAAAGACACACCAACAGATGTCAGTCAGTTCCTGTCACGGGATATTGACAGATTCCCAGAAACAACAGAGGAGTGTGGATGTTATTTACCTGCCAGGCTCACGCGTCCAACCCGTCAGAGACATCGGCTGTTAAAAAAATACTCCGACTTTTGCCGTCATTCTGTGAAATTCCATTGCATTTGTAACACTTTATTAAGTGACTACAGATCTCAGTGTAATTTAGGGGACCAACTTATCTTTTATTATTTATGTATGTTATTTAAATTATTTCCGATGTGTTTCCTTTTTACTTGTTACTCCTACTGATATTGTCCTGTCCCCAGTTTCTCATACCTTTTAATATTTTTCGAAAGTGTTCAGGTGCACCATAATTTGGTGAAGTATAAAACCTTTTTTTTTTAATGTTACATGTTATTATTTAATTACTTAAAAAAAAACTTATGTGTTCAAGTTCTATTCTTCGACTGAGCTCAAAACATTAAAGATTCAGTCAAAGTATAGTAATCCGTTTCAGCAACGGAGTCAACGGAAGAACAAAATTATTTCTATTAGTTAATCGAAGGAAAAAAAAAATAATACATTAAAAGATCGTGATTGTTAACAAGAATAATATCACTTACTCAGACAACAAGAAACAAAGCTGTGAATGGGACCAGCCATGTAAAATACCTGGGTCCAGTACTACAAAGGTAAAAAGTGTGAGCTCAACGGCAAAACATCAACATTCGTGATTAAGTCTTTATTTGCGCGAAATTTTGAACGAGCCAAAAATAGTGAGCTTGCAACCTTTGCCTTGCGAAGTGACCCACGTTTGTTCTTCTAGTGTTTAAGAGTCGGCAGGGGGGGACACGCACCCGGCCTGTGATTGAATGGGAATTTTAAATCATAGTCTTATAGTACGATTTTTTTTTCCGGAATTTTCTGGTATGGTTACGATACTAGTAACAACAACAAAAACTTTCATTCATTTTTTTTTCTTCTTCCAAAGTTCTTATATATCACGAGGTCCGGGTGCTTGCCCTTTTAAACGCATGACTGAATTTTAAAATAAAAATAAAAAAAGAGATTGTACTTAGTGTGAGTCGGGGATTAATTAAAACAATTGGAGAAACTCCCCACTAATGGAAATTTTAGGAAGATTAAGGGGAATATATATATTTAACCCTCTCAAAGAACCAACCCACTGACAAAAAGTGCCTTCATATTCGAAAAAAAAATTAATTCACTTGAAATTCTACAGAAAGGGGCTCTCATACCATCTAACAACTGTGTACATTTTACACGAAACTGTATTGTTACCTCAAAAAAATAATAATAAAATAAATAAATAAACAAATAAACGAACACACAAGGAGTCTGTGAAATCAGGTGAAATCAGAACGAATAACTGAGAGACCCTTTTTCATAATTATTATTATTATTCCCAGAAGCGGCCAATTATCCAGTTTTCGCAAAGGAAACATGAGTAAAACAGGTGTGAAAAGGGAGGGGGTGAGTCTGGAAACGTGGTGGTGCCTCCTTAAACTCTTCTAGTTTTCTTTCAATTTTTTTAAACGATTTTTTGTACCATTTTTTATTTATTACAACCTAATTTTCTACACTTTTTTATATATATAAATAGTTTAGGACTTTAATCTCTCTCTCTCTCTCTCTCTCTCTCTCTCTCTCTCTCTCTCTCTCTCTCTCTCTCTCTCTCTCTCTCTCTCTCTCTCTCTCCTTGATTATTTTGTTTAGGTATCTCTTCTTTCTCGGTAACTGACGTAGATATTTGTGTTCGATTCTGATCTAAAAGTACAAGTTAGTTTGTCCTGTTACCCATCACCACGCGCCGCCCCTCTCCCCCCCCCCAAACGGTCCTGTCTTCAAGGTGCCAAAATGTACAGAGCACACAATCCTAGTTTAAGCTATTTTTCTACTGTTCACTGTTTGCATTTCTTATGTAAAACTTTTGTGAATGTCTGGGACCAAGTTTGAGAAAGCCTTAATGTCGGTAAGGTTTTTTTTTTTTCGTAGTTGATTTTGGTAGTTTTAATAAAAATAAAAGGATAAATGGTTGTTTTCTTTTCTTTTTTTCCGTTTGTCTGTTTATTTTAGTACTAAATATGTATTGCTTAATTTGAGTTTCCACCAGATTTTTTGTAAGGTATCTATCGGAAGAAAAAATATATATATATACTTTGATAAATATTGATCACTTATAATTTTTTTGTTATCGTTTGATCATTAATAACATCTAAGAATTAAATAATATTGGACTCTTAAAAGTTTGATAATAATCATATATGTTTAGGTGATATACGCATTTAAAGATTTTTTTAAAAATCTAAAATTAAGTATAAGAACCACATACAAATTAAATAATGGTAACATATAAAAGTTAAACATCCATTTTTTTTTTAAATGATGGATGGACGTACCTAGCAAAAGTTGCAAATAACCGTAAAAAGAAATTGCGAGTGTTTTTTTTTTCCAGTCCCTTGCTCGTTGTTGCAGGTGGCATAGACTGAGGCCCCCTGTTGGAAGTGCGGCGCCCCATTTCTATGAAATTTGATATACTGACGGAGGAATCGCATGGGCTTCATCGTTCTCGGATCATCCAAAAACGAAACAGATAATTGGCAATTATTATTCTCACTGTCAAATAATTATAAAACTAGACAGCTTGGATTATCTCCTTAGTCAAGACTTAGTCAAGGACCACCTCCAAAAGAGCTATCGACTGTGAGAACGGAAACCACGCCAGAGTTGCATCAGTACTGAGCCAGAGAAGAAATCATTAACGATCGATTATTGAGAGCTCGAAGTTAGCATATATATCATTGCTCCATTACATCATTATGAAATACTGATTCAAGCCTGCAAGAAAGAAAGTCTAAGAAATAGGGTTGAAGTTCTGTCCATTTTTGGAATGTCCATCCCTGCCCATGATAGCAGCAATCAAGCTAAATGGACTGAGCCCATTCTTATTCACGTTAATTTGAAGTGAATTGGCTCAGTAAGAATATATGTTTGTCTTCAGATGGCTACTGAATGCTACTGAAGTAAAGTCTGCTGTTCGCACTTATGAAGAATGCAGTGATACTTTGCCTAACATCACGTCACTCTTGCGAATCCTGTGTACGTTTCCGGTGACTACAATGGAGGCAGAACGACTTTTTTTCGAAAGAGCAGAGCACTCTCACGGCAGTTCGAGCGACCATGACAGAAGAGCGCATGGAAAGCCTGACACTTTTGCAAGTTTATTGGAATTTGAGTTTTAGAGTTTTAGAGCGCTGCGCAAAGAGGGATCGCAGATTGGTGTTCAATCAGCGAACCCCAAGAGTCACTGCTGAAGAGTTAGATTTTCCCCATGAGGGGCGGCGCTAGAACATTTTTCTTGGGTGGCAGGGTATAAAAGTAGCCTGGCTAAAGCTTTATATAAACAATTTTCAAACAACTCAAAGTAAGCATAACCTACGGTGTAAACTAAACCGATTTCCTACAGCTACATAGTGACGGTACAATATCAATCAATTACCGAGTGTTTATAAGTGTCCCCCTTTATCAACTGCCCCCCCCCCAAAAAAAAAAAAAAAAAAAAACTTCAGAATGGTTCTGGATCCGGCCCTGGGCCCAGCGTAGGGATCACCTCTGCCTTGGCCCTCAGCCCTCGCCTCAGATAATTTTACATGGTCGTTTCTTCTCCTTTCCTTTTCCTTCTCTTTTTCATCCCCTTCTTCTGTCCACTTGTCCTAATCGTTAACTCTGTTTTATCCTTTTCACCACAATACTTTATCATAATGCTGTATGTGACCTTTGATGTCTAGAACATTTATTTTGACCATTGACCATTAATCCACAAACATCGCCTCATGAACCAAAAAAAAACTTCCTTACCCGAGGGATTCGCCCCCGAGCCCCACCCTATCGTTATATTTTGAATAAGCCGACAACGACGCCTAGATGAAGCGGCAGAAATTTTCAACGAATAAGTAAATAAAATTATGTTTTTTCCTTTTTTTCTATTTTTCTCGGAATGGAGCAACTGTATGAATATCTTTATTTTTCAGTCTGTTAATCAAGGCTGGTGGATTTGTATGTCCATTATAGAATGGCTTGGATAAAAAGCTTCGAGTAAGTTAATACTTAATAATAGAAAAATATAATAATAATGTCTCTAAGGAATAACATCTTTTTCATCTGATACATACGAATATTATGAATATTTGGAACAACATTTACATGCATGTAATTATGGGGTATGGCGGGTATATGAAATTTTACACGGGAAGACAAAGGAAGGTAAGATCTTTCTCAGCTACGTAATCAGAGAACGATTATATATATATATATATATATATATATATATATATATATATATATATATATATATATATATGTATGTATATATATATGAGTCATAATTATGTAGATCTCTTGCTAGTTTTAGCAACATGGAGACATCTAGCAACTCGTAAAGTTACAGATTTAACCCAACCACCACAGATTTATGTTCTGTCCCTTGTATTTTTTTTATTATTTTATTTATTTATTTATTCTTTTTTTTTTTTTTTTTTTTTTTTTTTTTTTTTTTTTTTTGTCTTTGTTAGATGGCTCCACACGTGTTCAGCCGTCAAGGAATCAGTAGCTGATTTTCCCATTCCTTGAATTGTCGAGAAAATGTATTTCTTTAATACAATTGATATCGATACTGTTATTCTTGTTGTTGATGTTATGATTATTAAGTTGTTATTAAAATCTTGGTAACATTTAAGACAATGAAATAATGCAAAAGATCCTTTCCAAAAATCAAGGAAAAGGGTAAACAGGTGAGATAGGCAGGACTAGTAACTAACTCCCCGGTGACTATGCACTTGTACGGCCATCTACGTGTAAATTCAATAAGTAAACTTGTATTACAGTGGGCATGGCTTGTATTCTTGCTATACGTGCCGATCGGGTTAAGAAAAAAAACAAGCAAACTGACGCAGTTCGTCGTTGTTGGTAATAATGATTCGGAACTCTCGAAATCAAGGTTGAATTATTTGGGTGTCGAGACGGAATTCGAAACATGTTTGACACAAGTTTCGACCCTGACTGGTCTGTAGAAATTATCTTTATCAAATAACTGGGAGATATTGTATTGTTCATATAGGAGATAAATACTATTATCTCTTATCTTAGGCTATGCACACACACACACACACACACACACACGCATATATATATATATATGTGTGTGTGTGTGTGTGTGTGTGTGTGTGTGTGTGTGTGTGTGTGTGTGTGTGTGTGTGTGTGTGTGTGCGTGTGTGTACATATACGTATTTAAACACATATATGTATATGTGTATATGTATATTCATATATATATATATATATATGTACATATATACACACACATATATATACATATACATATATGTATATTTATATATATATATATATATATATATATATATATATATATATATATATATACACATCACCCTCACTCTCTTGATCACGTAGATTGTATTTAGGTATGTTGTGCATGTTATTTATAAATCTTAAAATTTCCTCTGAAAAATGTGACCCACATCACTACTAAATCATCTGAATTTTATACCGAAATATTACCAAAATACTTTTGAAAAATATTTTTTCCCAACTGCATAATGCCTTACTCCTTTTAATTTGCATTAAGTATTATCCGGGCTGCAAATACATTTTTTTTTTTTAACTACAAAAAAAAATGTTTGTGATAAATTTGTCACAGTTTTGCTGAATTCTTTTGCCTGTATAAAGTTCGATTTTAAAAAGTTCCATAAGAACCAAGGTCTTTCCGTTTGATCAAAGTTATATCTGTTAATTGTTGTTTTTTTCACGGACTCGACCGTTTCAAAATTTCCAGAGAATTTTCAAAGTGAATTTAGTGCAATTAATGTATCTGATACACAGGAATGGTCTGGCTGAATAATGCAAATTGTCTTGAAGACTGATCACTACATGTAACAGGTTGTATAACACAGTGCATTGTAGTACTGAGATATTTCTCATGACTTACTGAATAACTCCCTACTTTCTTTATTCATTACCATACCCTCATTAAGCCATTGTAAGTAGTAACTAATTTCACTCATTTACATCATCTGTTGGAAGGACTAATAAAACACAGCATTTAAACTAATGTTATTAATAATACTAGAATCAAACACATTTTAGTAACATTCTTTCTGTTACAATTGCATCGTGTATGTTCACACTGTAACAACATATCTTACTTCATATCAGTTATCTGCAGCAAACGATAAAACGTAAATTTCATTGTAACCGTATTCAATCCACTTTATCTGCTGAAGATAAGCAACAGGGGAGTTCACTTAATATAAAGGAGTCCGCTTTAGAGAGGATCTTTATTTCTTTTTTTTTACAAAGTTTCGTAAGTTTTTTTCATCTTTTTTTTGTCTCCCGTGTCCTTGGTCCCTAGCTGACCCGTTTTTTGCAAGCTACTTAATGCTTCTAAAAGTAACGTGAAATCGGTGTTACTCTTGCTCATTAAAGCTTGCAATGTTTTCATTGCTAGTGTTATTAGACTCTGCGTCACCTCTGCTCGGAAACGTTTTGATGTATTGGCGAAACATTTTTTTTTAGCGTAAACTACGTTGAAAATAAGGTGATGCAAATGAAGGCTCAAGCAGGTCTGCACAGCCCTTCGCCTACCTATACGAAACAACTGAGCTACAAAATACTCCTACATACAGTTATGATGCCTCTACTACATAAGTGCTAAACCATGTATTCTAAGTCCAGCCCTCTTCCCGTGCCGAAGCTTCTCCTCTGCAAAATGCCAGACTCAAGACTTCCAAGAGAAAAAAAAACGAAACAAAAACAAATGGCTCCCCCGGACTAGAAGACGGAGGCCGGTTCACGGGGCTGCGTGAAATAGTCCGAGGGGGGGAGGGCGTGGCGCTTGCGGTTCACGTCGTACCTCGTGTCGGACTCGGGCTCCCCTTCGGCGAACTGCACCGGAGCTGTACTTTGCGCCATGTTCTCCCTGAGCCTCAGCAGCTCCTCCCCGACGCCGGTCTTCAT